AAGAACCATTCTGATTTATATTTACTGCAATAGTGAGTTTACTTCAAAGCTGACCAGTCGATAAAACTATTTTGCTGGTCAGTGATCAGGGATGGCTGAGTCTGGTTTTCTTTTCAGATGACAAATACAGCGATCAGATTGGCTGATTAATTAGCCAATTTGTAACATCAACTTGAACACAATTAATAATTTTCCCCTAGGGTAGGGTTACGTTTCGCTAGCATACAAAGCGCCACCTTGTTGCCGAATCTCATGGTCGCTTATATCAAAGCTAAGCGATTTTCTTCCCGCTGTGCGCAGGGTTCTGGGAAGACCCGAAGTAGAGAGGATTTGTCACGGTACATCATTAACCGCTGTTAATTGAAATAAAGCGAAACTAAAGACGTATATTGGGTGATAAAAATCACACAAGTTTTCAACGATGTTTAGCAGATAACCCGTGTAACATAGAGCACTTGGGCAAACAGGTCGACAGTCCCCGAGGAGCGGTGAGTGGGGCCAGGCAAGGGTCCATATCCAATTATAAAAGTGCTTGATGGGTGTTATACAACATCTTTACAAAAAATATTATTGCTTACAATTCACGTGACAATTTATTAAAATAGCAAGAAATATACATGTAATACATGGATACTCTGTACTTCGTTATCATTGTTGTCATACCTTTTCAATGTTTTGGAGTCGAGCAAGGAGGAGGGGGCAAAACTATGATCTGATTGGTCCCCCGGGACGTCATCAATCATTTTCAGCCAATCACAGGATCACCATGCTCTTGACTTTGTGTTCCATCATTTAGTGCAGAAGGTAATGTAAACTGATACTAAATGTACCACTAAATATACTGTACCACTAAATATACTGTACCACTAAATATACTGTACCACTAACACTAAATATACTGTACCACTAAATATACTGTACCACTAACACTAAATATACTGTACCACTAACACTAAATATACTGTACCACTAAATATACTGTACCACTAACACTAAATATACTGTACCACTAACACTAAATATACCATATACTGTACCATTTTAAACTAAATATACTGTACCACTAAATATACTGTACCACTAACACTAAATATACTGTACCACTAACACTAAATATACTGTACCACTGACACTAAATATACTGTACCACTAAATATACTGTACCGCTAAATATACTGTACCACTAACACTAAATATACTGTACCACTAACACTAAATATACACTAAACTAAATATATACTGTACCACTACTAAATATACTGTACCACTAACACTAAATATACTGTACCACACTAAATATACTGTACCACTAAATATACTAACCACTAAATACTGTACCACTAACACTATACTGTACTAACACTAAATATACTGTACCACTAAATATACTGTATCGCTAACACTAAATATACTGTACCACTAAATATACTGTACCACTAACACTAAATTTACTGTATCGCTAACACTAAATATCCTGTACCACTAACACTAAATTTACTGTACCACTAACACTAAATATACTGTACCACTAAATATACTGTACCACTAACACTAAATATACTGTACCACTAAATATACTGTACCACTAACACTAAATATACTGTACCACTAAATATACTGTACCACTAAATATACTGTACCACTAAATATACTGTACCACTAACACTAAATATACTGTACCACTAAATATACTGTACCACTAAATATACTGTACCACTAAATATCCTGTACCACTAACACTAAATATACTGTACCACTAAATATACTGTACCACTAAATATACTGTACCACTAACACTAAATATACTGTACCACTAAATATACTGTACCACTAAATATACTGTACCACTAACACTAAATGTACTGTACCACTAACACTAAATATACTGTACCACTAACACTAAATATACTGTACCACTAACACTAAATATACTGTACCACTAACACTAAATATACTGTACCACTAAATATACTGTACCACTAAATATACTGTACCACTAACACTAAATATACTGTACCACTAACACTAAATATACTGTACCACTAACACTAAATATTCTGTACCACTAAATATACTGTACCACTTACACTAAATATACTGTACCACTAACACCAAATACACTGTACCGCTAACACTAAATATACTGTACCACTAACACTAAATATACTGTACCACTAACACTAAATATACTGTACCACTAACACTAAATATACTGTACCACTAAATATACTGTACCACTAACACTAAATATACTGTACCACTAAATATACTGTACCACTAAATATACTGTACCACTAACACTAAATATACTGTACCACTAACACTAAATATACTGTACCACTAACACTAGATATACTGTACCACTAAATATCCTGTACCGCTAACACTAAATATACTGTACCACTAACACTAAATATACTGTACCACTAACACTAAATATACTGTACCACTAACACTAAATATACTGTACCACTAAATATAATGTACCACTAAATATAATGTACCTCTGACACTAAATATACTGTACCACTAACACTAAATATACTGTACCACTAACACTAAATATACTGTACCACTAACACTAAATATACTGTACCACTAACACTAAATATACTGTACCACTAACACTAAATATACTGTACCACTAACACTAAATATACTGTACCACTAAATATACTGTACCACTAAATATACTGTACCACTAACACTAAATTTACTGTATCGCTAACACTAAATATACTGTACCACTAAATATACTGTACCACTAACACTAAATATACTGTACCACTAACACTAAATATACTGTACCACTAACACTAAATATCCTGTACCACTAAATATACTGTACCACTAACACTAAATATACTGTACCACTAAATATCCTGTACCACTAACACTAAATATACTGTACCACTAACACTAAATATACTGTACCACTAACACTAAATATACTGTACCACTAAATATACTGAACCACTAACACTAAATTTACTGTATCGCTAACACTAAATATACTGTACCACAAAATTTACTGTACCACTAAATGTACTGTACCACTAACACAAAATATACTGTACCACTAAATATACTGTACCACTAACACTAAATATACTGTACCACTAACACTAAATATACTGTACCACTAACACTAAATATACTGTACCACTAACACTAAATATACTGTACCACTAAATATACTGAACCACTAACACTAAATATACTGTACCACTAAATGTACTGTACCACTAACACTAAATATACTGTACCACTAAATATACTGTACCACTAACACTAAATATACTGTACCACTAACACTAAATATACTGTACCACTAACACTAAATATACTGTACCACTAAATATACTGTACCACTAACACTAAATATACTGTACCACTAACACTAAATTTACTGTATCGCTAACACTAAATATACTGTACCACTAACACTAAATGTACTATACCACTTACACTAAATATACTGTACCACTAAATATACTGTACCACTAAATATACTGTACCACTAAATATACTGTACCACTAACACTAAATATACTGTACCACTAACACTAAATATACTGTACCACTAAATATACTGTACCACTAACACTAAATTTACTGTATCGCTAACACTAAATATACTGTACCACTAACACTAGATATACTGTACCACTAACACTAGATATACTGTACCACTAAATATACTGTACCGCTAACACTAAATATACTGTACCACTAAATATACTGTACCACTAACACTAAATATACTGTACCACTAAATATACTGTACCACTAACACTAAATATACTGTACCACTAAATATAGTGTACCGTTAAATATACTGTACCACTTACACTAAATATACTGTACCACTAACACTAAATACACTGTACCGCTAACACCAAATATACTGTACCACTAAATATCCTGTACCACTAACACTAAATATACTGTACCACTAACACTAAATATACTGTACCACTAAATATACTGTACCACTAACACTAAATATACTGTACCACTAACACTAAATATACTGTACCACTAACACTAAATATACTGTACCACTAACACTAAATATACTGTTCCACTAAATGTACTGTACCACTAACACTAAATATACTGTACCACTAAATATACTGTACCACTAACACTAAATATACTGTACCACTAAATATACTGTACCACTAACACTAAATATACTGTACCACTAACACTAAATATACTGTACCACTAACACTAAATATACTGTACCACTAAATATACTGTACCACTAACACTAAATATACTGTACCACTAACACTAAATATACTGTACCACTAACACTAAATATACTGTACCACTAACACTAATGTACCACTGACACTAAATATACTGTACCACTAAATATACTGTACCACTAACACTAAATATACTGTACTACTAACACTAAATATACTGTACCACTAAATATACTGTACCACTAACACTAAATATACTGTACCACTAAATATACTGTACCACAAACACTAAATATACTGTAACACTACATATCCTGTACCGCTAACACTAAATATACTGTACCACTAAATATACTGTACCACTAACACTAAATATACGGTACCACTAACACTAAATATACTGAAATACCACTACTGTACACTAAATATACTGTACCACTAATTATTTACAAATATTTGCGTAAAGTGTGCACAGCTCCGCTTGTATATATACAATCGGAAATATTATGACATCATACACATTGATAAAACATGTATAAAACTTGATCATTGTTTTTTTTTTTTTCTAAAATGAAGACCTAGATTATCACGTGACTAATGTGGCATTGATTAGTATTGGTCCGCACTCAGCTGTTCTGGGAAAAACAGACGATAGCAATCGTCAGTGAAATATAATCATTATGACGACGAAGTCATTACCATAAGCACACGTGCGTTTCTATGACAAGATCGTCACCTTTCTGATTCTGACTAGATTCACAAACAATGTAAAACAGTGGGTTCTTAATACCCATGGGTTAGACTTCCGGTCCAGAACGGTCTATGAGGTAAAACATCACTTCCGTAACTTGGTCTCTGGTCACTATGGATACCAAACATGCTCACTTGTTCATTGGACGGACTTAGCATGCTGGACTGGCGGACGACTATTGGAGAGAATCCACGATGGCGAGGTGACATCATAACGTTTTGGGGGGATATAGGCGACAGGGCTGCGTGCGCAGACACCGGAAATGACATAAGTTTAGGGGAATAGAATGGTGGTGATCTTTCAAAGGGTGGGCTTCCCAGTGGTTCTCTCGGAAAATCTTGTGAAAGTGTTCTGGGATCTGAACCTAATGAACGTTTAGGCGTTGACTGCGTCAATCGGGATATACTGAAATCGGTAGATGGTTTTCGAACTTTCCGGCTGTTTTCGGCATTTTCTAGTCTTACACATTCGAGGCACTGCCGAGTAGGAGACATGTTTGATCCCAGAAAGGCCTTGCCGCATCGTACGCATTCCTCATGTGTGTCGTCTGGAAAGAATGGTAGAAAAATTAACATTTGTACTAATTATAGTATCGACTGATCGGTGGTCCCAGAAATAAACACTAAATGACGAAGTGACATGGATGGACTTTAATATCCGGATACGTATTACACAAATATATGTATGACGTAATAATTAAGTAACCGGAAGTTTACATCAATAAGTCACAATTGGTTATCACGTGGCCTATTATTTTGGAAGATAATATTTTTTTACTTTGTATTTCTATTAAACAAGAGTGAAAAAACAACTGTGTATTAATTCGAATTTAAACTAATAAAAAATCGTAGTGTAATATTGGGTAATAATTCTTACTTTCATGGGTTTTCATGTGAGTCTTGAGATTACACTGGAGGGCAAACTTCTTTGCACACAGGTAGCACTCGTGTGGCTTGTCTCCTGAAAATAATAGATAAACATATTTTTATTGGAATCTTCATTGACAAATTCGAACGATGTAGTTAATAATCTTATAATAAATAACTTATTTATTTATCATATTGAAATAAAAAAAACTGATTTATTATAGAACAGAGTACAGATAAGTTAAGGGACGTCGGCTCTTTCAGATACTGAAAGTGTGGACGAATTCCAGGAAATAAGTGCCACTGGAAAACTATGATTGGAGTACTGCCAGACTATCTCCCTTGTCAGCAAATCACATTGAATAACTTTTGCAAATCGCACCTTTTTTTGTCCGATGTATCGGAGTTACATACGTGTCCGGCTGTACCTACCTGAGTGAAGGAGTTGGTGATTTTTCAGATTGGTTTGTTTGCTGAAACCCCTGTTACAGATATCACATTTGAAGGGCCAGGAACCGTTGTGGACGTACATATGACTTCGGAGATCCCCGGGGGTCGGGAAAGATTTAGAACATAACGTACACTTGTGAGGCTTTTCCTATAAAAGAAACATGATATATACAGTTAATTTTTATCGAAACAATTACTTGGAAACGTGGTCTGTAACGCGTAACACACGTTTGAAAATTTTGTTGTCTACCATTAAATTCATTCTATTTTAACTTATACACATTTATAATTCATTTTCGGTAAAATCATCAAAGACGATTACGGTAAAAACTTTTTCCGACAAGACTTTGTGCAACTTGTCGAACTCTCTGAATCGAGGTAACAAACGAAAACCGGAAGAATCAAAGCGACCTACCTTATTGTGTGTCATCCGGTGGTAATATAGATTGGAGCTGGCAGTAAAGCGTTTACCACAGATCTTACACTGGTGTGGTTTCTCACCACTGTGAATTCTCCTGTGAGTGTTTAGAGAACTCGACGTTGAGAACGCCTTCCCACAAACGTCGCACGCATGGGGCTTCTCGCCTGGAATTCAAACAAATTTTCGTGAGATGCTTTTATGTTGTTTTTTTAATTCATTTTAATGCAAGATTATCTTTAGAAATTGTTGCAGAGGTCCATAATCATTCAATATCTTCGCAAGGAATCGAACTCGGAGCCTTTCGGATTATAGCGTTCGAAACACTGCTGCTTTTAACTTAGCAAATTCAAACTGCCGTATGCATATAAGGCATTTCTGATATATTGTATTATTGTTACTTCTGATTAAGAACATGCCTATAATACATCTGTACACGTATATAAGTACATACTAAAAACACAAATGTATCTACACTTACCTGTATGCACGCGCATGTGTCGCTTCAGTAGTGACGGTCTATCAAACTTTTTGCCACAGACGTCACACGGTAACCATGTCCTCTCGCGGTTCCGCTTGCCGGTCCGTGACGTCAACAGGGCTCCTTGTTCCGGACTGCTATTCGTGGTTGTGTCTGATTCGCTTTTTGTCTTAATAAACAAAAGAAAATATCCACATTCATTAAAAATTGTAATATTGATAATGAAACGATCTATCCAATCCTTTTTCAAATTCGTTAATTCTGACATTTTCTCATCGATGATAAAAACCTACGCTATTTCATTTACTTTGAAAATAAAGTCATAGCGGTTACATTTTTAATTAAGACTTTACCTGGTCAGATTTATCGCTCTCCTGTTCACTCATGACGTCACTCAAGCTGGACCGGCAATCATCTTCTCTTGTTATCGGTGATGTAAACATTCCACTAGCATCCAGAGACAATGGGGATATCAATTCCTTGCTGTTATCTTTAAGCGCTGGAACGATGCAAACATAGAAAATACAATTCATGACAGTTCTATAACGGTGGCCGTGATTGGTTGATGTATGAACGTGACAGATTGAAGACAAGTCGGTTTTTTTTTTTTTTGTTTTTGTTTTTTTTGTTTTGTTTTGTTTTTTTGGTTTGTTTTAACAATCCATTTTTTATTTCCATGTACATACCGATTTCAGGTGACTTTTCTTGTTCCGGTATTTCCATTGACATCACTTCCGGTTCCGGTTTCTTAGCTTCCTTCTCTGCATCAAAGAAGACGATGATTGGATCATTAGGTTCCACGTGTTTGATAGCCTGGAACACTGGTTCACCCTTGATGTTTACAGCGACAAAGTTTACGTCATCGACTTTGGACGAAGATTTCACGAATCGGATCCAGTTACAATGACGGACGGATGTCTCCTCGACATCGATAATTTCATCGTAACAGCCGAATTTGTATCGTATCTGGAAATGAAGAGGAGTTGTTGTAGAATGTTATTTTGCATATTACACTATCACTATGGTACAGGGATTGACTAGCAGAAGATTAATATCAAATATCGCGGCACTAAACCGGATGTGAAAAGATAATTAAGACCTTTAAACATTTCTAAATTAAAAACTAAATACAAGTTACTCGTAGGCATCAGTATTTTCTTTATGATGAAAATGCCATTTTCACCTTCTGTAGAACCGCTGAAGAGTACAAGGCTATCAGATTCCTCTACCACTGAAAGCATTACAATTTCTTTCCTTTGTTGAAAAAAAATGCAGACATAGAAAATTAATCCTTTTCATTGGTAATAACACCTTTAAATCCCGGTAATAGTCTAAATTACAGGCGCACTCTCATCTTCAACAACAAATTTCTTTGATAGAAATAGAAGGTTTATTAGAATTTAATCTCTTGACCACTGCCACAAAGACCGATGGACATGACAGTAGCCGGCCGGAGTCTCGTTTATCAGCGATTTCAATTGGTCACGCGCCGACCTGTTAGTGCTGCTAATTGTTATCGTGAGCGAGTCGGGGAGTGTGAAGGGGGAGGGGGACCTGTTACGCTGATTGAAACACACGATATCCTATGTTTCGGTTTGGACTAGCACTTGCAGGTCATTGTTAATCAAGCGACTTCTCTGATTTAAGATTGCCTCCTAATTTTTCATCGAACGGTATCAGGATTTTTTTACGGTCATCACTTTAAATATGAAATACGTTCCATGTATTTGCGATTTACAGATGAATACATGTCTTACATCTAACTTTATTTCTAACGAAGAAAATTGTGATAAAACACAAAATTAAACAAAAACATGATATTTTAGAAATTTATTTCCATCATAAAGTATATTACACTATGTTTAATCTCCCGCCTAAATATTGTACCGGGCCTGTTCAGTTCTTGACCTTAGGTTTCAGACAAACAACAGCTGTATGTGACCGACAGTGCAGGGTGGTACATGATGTTGGGTCAGTCCTCCCCGGGAGGGACATATTTAGATCTCTTTGAGGCTGTCCTCTATCCCTAAAACGCCATAATGTTAACTAAAATTGTGTTCGATGTAACAGATGTGTCGGTCGTGTGTGCTTCTCGAGTTACGTCAGTTGACCATTGTCCACTATTGTTGAGTACAACCGATTTAAAATTTCATTCAAAGACGTGGTTTGAGCAACCATCATCCCATTCATGGCGGATTTGATTTCTAAAGAACAAATTACCACTCATGCGCACTGACGCTGCGCCGGATTACACAATGCCGTCCAATTAACGCGGCCATTACAACCGTGGAAGTCTTTTGTGAAGGAGGTTCGATTGTGTGCCTCAAACATTACAACAATTTAATTAAACATTGATGAGACGATATTGCCAGTCAACGAGAGCTGTATCGCTTTCATTATGTCAACTTCAATGACGACTTACGTTGGCGAGCCATTATTTCAAGTGGTCAGTCATGTAAATCGCTTTTTATACGACCAGTTTTCAATGGTCACTCATCGTACTAGAGCTACTAGGACTGGCCATCACTTTAAGTGTTACTAATTCAGTAAAGCGCTTATCGTCTGGAAATTCGTCAGTATGTACTTCAAAGCCGACTATGGACAGAGGCGATTGTAAGTTCGCCTGGTCAGTATTTCCTGTTACACGGACTGACCATTAATCACGGGGTGGTACACAGGTTGAATGGGTAACTACTAATAAATAGTCACAATAACCATATAAGTAGACAGACTAAATGGACAGTGCGACAAGTACACGGGACAGGATACTCTGGGAAAACACTAGGGACAGGGGGACGGGGTGGGATGGGGGGGAGTGGTGGTGGTGGGGGGGGGGGGGGGTGGGGTAAGTAGACAGACTAAATGGACAGTGCGACAAGTACACGGGACAGGATACTCTGGGAAAACACCAGGGACAGGGAGACGGGGAGGGTGGGGGTGGGGTAAGTAGACAGTCTAAATGGACAGGGCGACAAGTACACGGGACAAGATCGTTTAACTCACATTCATGTACATTTTGGGTAACAATTCTGCAATGCATTTCATATTTTTCCCATTCAATATCAACAATAATTTTCCTCCATATAAATAACAACGGTGTTTAAGGGGCCCACAAGCGATGAAAAAGAATTGCCAATAAGAGTCACAGTTTTTTATTTCGAAGGATTTGGAGAGAAAAGCTAAGTATATATATAGTTATAATATCGCATTGTTTTGACGTGAATCAAACGGAAGCATTCTTCTTAATGAGAGAGTGAATCTTCTGAGCACATTCCCTGTTTTACACAGTAAATGTGTTGGGTATGCAAGAGAGTTAATCTTCTGAGCACATTCCCTGTTATACACAGTAAATGTGTTGGGTATGCAAGAGAGTGAACGTGCGCTCAGCGAAACGATACAATCCGTTTACTACGTCCGGATTCCGATTTCGGTCATTAGTGTTTCGCACGTGCTTCCTTATCGACTTACGTTATCAAAGGGCAAGTGTTTACCGAATGAGATATATTATGTATATGATTACACAAAGTGGTTGCAAACATCAACAAATTATCTCTTTACATCTCACACAAACCAGACACAGGCTTATCGCGATATGATAGTAATGCATTTACAACGAACTGCCACTATCCGTTAAATTGACGCGGCTTTAATTTTCAAAAAATCGCGCCAGTTTCTGAAAAAAGTCAAATCAAAATAAGTGATACTTGTTTCTAGGATTACAATTAATTATTTATTATTATTTGATTTTTCATCGGGTCTTGTTTTTTTAATATTATTTTCCGTCTTCCAGCTTCAGTTTTTAATATCTATTTGAATCGACGGTTATTTGAAGTAAAAAAGATAACTACAACAATGAGGAAAGGATGAAGCGAGATAAAATATTTCATATACCATTGGAGGACATTTTAGTTACAATATTTCTTCATTCGCCTGATAATGAACAGTTTCTTCTATATAGCTAAGTGATGTCGGGCCACGTCCCTAATTATGGTCCGTCACGGCACGCGGTTCTCACTTTTAGGACACACCTGAAGGGTGTCGTGTCCACTTCATTACCAGTTGATTATCGCACGTGGGCTAGCCAGACATGACGAAGTGGTGGTAACGAACCCCTTCACTTACAAACAATCACGTGATATCACGTGGTGTTCACACAATACATCATAAGAGTATTTCCAGCACAAACCCATCAGGGTGAATATTTAGAGTGAAAAACAACGCAATTTGCCTCTACGTTATACTACAAGAAAAATATCCAAGGATGCATTCATACTATACAAACGGTTTATAATTTTATCATTCCGAAAATAATTTTGATTTTGAAAAATCTCATCGCATCAACATACACATTATCAGGGTTACACAAGTCACCTCATGTGGATGAGATTTTTTTTTAAATGAGACTAACGACATGGTAATCTGGAGAATCTCTACGGAAGGGAATACACAAACAGGTAATATAGAGGTCAATGCTATTAGGTTATAAATAAATACTTATGTTAGGAATTCTTTAAATGTTGATCTCACAATATCCAACATAAACGGATTGTATAAGGTATTTAAAACATTTGTCAGGCCTGTGGTAAAGATAGCGCCGATATCACTGTTATCAGACAGATAGCAATAGATTATCTAAACCCTTGGGTGATCATTAAATTCACATCGTCCGTATTTTAAATTCCGTCACCTGTTTCCGTGATTAAACGCTCCCTTTAAGTACTCGGCTTATGTTTAACACCACTTCCAAAGAAGAGGAAAAACTCGTCCGAGGAGAGACCAAGAGGCCGTAATAGTAAGACTCAGTAATAAACTATCAAATACAGAAAGAAAGGGCTGTAAGAAAAAGGAATGACATTTTTGAAGAAGAAGAAGAAGACAATAGATGGTAGCGGTGTTTTTAAGTAGAAATAGAAAATCCCGTTACACTAGGCAAATAGATACAGACAAATAACCGTGTGTACATTAGGAGATTAGACCGGAGTGGTGTCCCACGGATTGTGGATTTATTCTTTAATCCCATCCCAAATAAATACCGGCATTGTTAAAAACTGTTTGAAGGGCGTATCATCTGTTTTACCGGGTGTCGGTGTTTACAAAACTAATGTTGTCTTTGTATTGGTGTTCAGATAGGTAAATATATCAGAATAACTTTTCTCATCTATAGGTAAATAACAGTGCGGTCTGATTTATATACCGTGTTACTTTTACACCTCGTGCGACAAAGAGAAATAAACAACTGTTTATTTGTAAGAAAAGTGAAGTCCGTCAGTGATATTTTATCAAATTAGAGATTCGTGTTTTACACGAAAATAATTGTAAACCGAAAGAATTCGAATTAAAATAATTTCGCAGAATAAAAATGAAATGAAGGAGTTACAAACAGAGGAACCCTGGTACTAAATAACAAGTTATCCCTTAATGGGCCCCTTACAAGATCAGTTACCCTTTGACGGCCTCTCACAAGGTTAAAGATCAAAAGCTTCCGCCATCGAAAAAACAATTTGTTATGACGTTCCTTTTCAGCTTGAAAAATTTCTTCTATAAGTCAAAAAATGTTTTTCGATTTTGCCAACAAGAAATAACGTGATCCGAGAGATGTTCGTCCTGATTAATCATACCCTGCATGGTAACTTCTCTATTCACTGAGTCTTATATGGTGGTTGTTTTTTTTAAATAATATTCGTTTAATTTTCTAAAACTTCAGATTATTTTCAATACTGAATACTTTTACAAAACATTTCGATCAGTAAAAAAATGCGCGAGAATATTTCTTTCCTGCCAGTTACAATATGAGAAGAACATCTTGGTCTACCTTGACCCCAGAAAAGACTGTTGTAATCTTAAATTTACTAAATGTGTCTTTTTATTCTTTAGGACATCTTTAACGCCCGAAGTGTCGTGTCAGGATCGGGGAAAATGCATCCCTTTCGTATACCTGACAACACTAACAGCACTTGTCACTTTCACAGGAAATTGTGATGTGGTTTCTAAATCCAGGAACCCAAGTTTTCACGGATTAAGAATTTTCATGAAAAGCGTTCGTTGATAAGATACAAAAGATGTCAAAAAATAAGATGACGTGTCGTTTCTACCTTCATCAGTGACTTAACGACTGGACTGTGACCTTTTGATAGAGAGCTGTGACTTTTTGTAATACTAATCCCCCTCACGGTATAGAATCACTTCCGAGAGAGCAACGGGATAGATTTGGGGTCATTGTGCACGTGTCATGGCCCTTAGGGAGTCTAGATTCCAAAGACGGAAGGACTGACTCTGAAGGGATTTTACGAGCACGCTCAGTTGTTCTCTTTTTACCTGTAGGTTGAGAATGTTAGCAGAGACGACTCCTATTCATGACGTCACTCCTAATTACGTTTACAGGACAATGCGCGTGTGATTTACATATCAAAACGATAAAGAATTATTATATATATATATAAACCTTCCCCTTACTTCTATCAATAAGTGTATACATACCCCATAAAAACAAAATATATAAAATTTAGATATAAATGTGTACAATTCTTTTGACATGAAAAAATATCGTAAATTTGACGCTGAATACATTTTTTTTTCTAAAAGAATGGTTACTAGTGCCAGATGGGTCGGGAAAAAATCCTCACTCAACCTAAAGTATTATTGATAAAATTATTCAAAAGTTACGGTACAAAAATGAACATGAAGGAGACCTCCGATTTCCCCAACCTTATACATTTCCTTCTGACATTACAAACCATCTGTGCCCTACCTATTCTTCCATAAAGGAAACAATTATTTTACATATAGATATGTATGCCATCTTGTGTAAATGTTGAGGCGTCGTATATTATTTTTGGGAGAAGACTTCATTTAAGTTGGAGAACTAGTTCCCGGTTCCCATTTTATATATTTGATGAAATAAAACATGTTTATATTGTTTTCATATTATTTATGGTCTGTAAGACTCGGCAGTTTCATCTGAGTAAGAGTTTTAAAATATATGTATATGTCTGAAGGTATACCTTTCGTAAGATGTGACAAAAATATCGATCATTTTTTAAAGAATATATTGTAAAAGCAAAGAGTTGTGTCCCTTTCTTTGTAACAGAAGATTTGAATCACCAGTTACCGGGTTATAGATTGTTTATTGAAAACCAACACTTGGATGTGATGGTGAGTAATACCTCCGAGATAATATAATTAGTCTCGGTTACCGATACGCTTTACTACTACCGACAGCATCAATAAACAGATATTAACCCGTGTGATGATAACCGATTGATCTTTAGGTTAATCAAACTGTATATGCCCCCCTCGCATGAAGTCGGTATGTGTATTTCGCTACTAGATATCACTGTGGGCGTGTTCATCACAGTACGGTGCAATTAGCATTAGGGACGCATGGCGTTTCTTAATAGAATGCTGCACATGCTTTACATGTTTGTTTAGACTGTATAAAGGGCGTGAAATTTTTCACCGTAGATGATAAAGAGAATGAAAGATGAAAGGAAGTTCATTACAACACATGTGATATAATTAACTTGTTATATTAACTCAAACTGTGCAAGTCATAGGACAAAACGTTGCCGAAATTACTTGTATTTCACAGGCAATGTGAGCGTTTTAAATGTAAGTTCTATAGTGTCATTCCGTCACAGAACAATTCTTCTAATTTGTATAAAACAATATTGACAAGAAAACGAGATTTTTTTTTTGCGTTGTAGAATTATTAAATATAAGATTTCAGTCACACTTTAAAGATTATAGTTACTTGTAGCATAATTATTTCAATGACCATTATTTAAAAAATTAACTACCGCATCATTCAAGCTGACTAAATGTCTATAACATCCCATAATTATCATTATAAACGTTAATCAATGCTGATTATATCGGCTTGTGTTAATATCTAAATACGTCTCATATTTTCAAAAACATATAACTATACATGTGATGTTATTTACGTAATATTTGTGTCCGTACTGTAGTTATTTGGTCATTTTTCATATACATATATAATGTATATAGATATATAATGAATCTTCCAATTTCTTTTTTTTTCATTAAAGCTCGGATTTGTAATGATAATCAATCTTTTATCAAATGGAATCAATTTTTTTTAATGTTTAAAAATTATGTATCTCTTATATACGTTGTCTTATTTCAAAAAGAAAACTCGGTTTAATAAGGAGGAAGAGAACGGGACCGTGAAATAATCAATTTAAAATGTTACCAATTATAGTAACTAAAGTCGATATTTGGTGAAAAAATTAAAATCATTCTATATATTATCTAATCAAAGTAAATGAAATTCCGGTGAGAAATGGATACAAAACACAAGAAGATTTAATTGACATCGTGTGTCACAACGGAAATATATGAATAGAATTTATTATAAATGAAAAAACTGAAAATTGAAACGATTGAGATAAATGAATTGCGGAAAAGTAAACAAATATTCCATTTTAATGGCCACTCCACTCTTTGTTTCAATATCAGGAAGGAGACGACAGATAAATGGATACTTACATCGCAGGAATCGAGCTTGGTGTAGATTTCTAACTTGTCGAGTCGGACGCTGCCCTGATCCGGACGGAATGTCGTTCCTGATGGTATGTGATTATTACTCCAAATATCGACGAACATCTCCAGCACATTTTCTGGATTCGGATGCAGCGTTAGGACCAGACCGAACTCTTCCGGAATTAATACACAGGCATCCATATTTTCTATTATTTTTTTCCTTACTTAGATGTTTTAGAAGTTAATTATGACAAGACAATGTTGAGTTATAAAACATGTCTACAGATGAATTATACAAAGTCTTGGGATAACTTTGAAACCACAGTCATATTATCCTGAAATTTTCAAAAATAGAATTGAAAGTCTCGAAGTTGATAAAAAGTTTTTTCTTTGAAGTCACCGAATTTCTTTTCTTCCTCGGTCTTTTAAATTACAAATTGAAATAGATGTCGGAAAACTTTTTAAATATCTGAAAGCAGCGAAGCAAGTAACATCCAAATTTAAAGTTTTCTTTTCAGTAACACTTTCTCTCAGGTGGTCAATGTTGGTCAGTCTTTAGCCTCCGGACAGCGATTATTACAGCAGTGGTCACTTACTAACTACCCTTTCACCTCCCTACTGACCATTACTACTGACTGACCATTGACTGGACATTATAACCGCCCACCCCACACCGGTCAGTATTGTGTGAAAATGATGTAACCGACCGCATCAGTAAGACGCGCTCCGATTGGTCAATATGACTCTGGACACTTGTTGAGCGCTACAGGGGGTTGTACCTTTCACATCGTACAGTGAAAGTTTCAATATACTACGGTCAAAAAAATAATTAGCTGTTTGAAATGGCCGCAGGGCTTGACCATGGCCCAGTCATCCTCGAACCATGTCAGACAGCTTTCACTTTTTAGAAAATGAAGTTTGTCTGTGGTTTTTGAAGTAAATCACAGAAATTTAACAATAAACCTCCTAGTGAATGAGAAACGGTTGGACGTCACATTCCGGGTATTCAAGCTAGAATGACCTTGACCTTTCCGTGCTCTCCTTTGATTTTATTTAATTTATGGTTTGCTAATTAACTAAAACGTATTATAATTGGTATTATAGGTAATTGATGGTTTCTCAAAATATTCCGTGAAACCCAATTGATATTGATAAATCACATTAAAATAATCAAAAACAGCTTCAACAAAATACACAAGTTTCAGGGAAAAAAATCTTTATTGATTTATTTCTTTATTTATTGGTAAAAAAAAGGAAAAATCTGTCGGATAGCAGATTGAGGGAAGATATCTATGAGACAGAATATTTGCTTGATTTTAAACTGCTAGATAATAAATGTTACAAGTCAAGAAACTAATTATTTCACTATGGTAACTTCAGACACTATGTTAACTTCAGACACTATGGTAACATCAGACACTATGGTAACTTCAGACACTATGGTAACTTCAGAAAGCTGAATATCTATTTTGTATATTGGACATAGTAACAATATTTTACCCGAAATATTGAAGTCTTTAAAAAATCGCTTCAATACGTTGATTTGAAATGATGAACCTGTCCAGCCAAGAACGAAATTCATTGGTCATGTGACTGGAAATTAGCATACAATATCAAAGGTTTTGATTGAAAGTGCAGAACATTACTTAATGATATATAACCCAGTCCAATAGTTATTTTGAATAATTCCAATTTTTTTGAATGTGTCAAAAAGTGTTGTGTGATAAATTGTCAGTGCCTGGTTTTATGACCCAATAGTGATACACTGACTGTCAGTACGGGCCAATTAGTCCCTCTATAGGGACCAATTAATACAGTCTGACCCTCAGTGTTGGAGGGGCTGTAAGTACAGAGGGTGATTTACCGGCCCCAGGAGGGAGCTCCAGACCTGACATCAGCGACATCCCTGTGGATGTTAATGTTCCGTGTCAGAATCACAATAAAGCCAGTTGTTCTTTCGTTTTCCCAATATTTAACCCACGAATAATTTACGAACGGGTTGACATACAATATGGGCCCCTAGACAAGAATCTTAACGGGAGCTATGTTTCTGACATCGACCATACATCCGTGGCTATGTTAATATATTTTGTGTCAGCATAGGAAATAGGTGTCTTGTTGAGTCTGCCGTTTTCCAGATGCTATGAGTGGAAGGTGACGTCTTGTGCTTCAGTTTATACGAGAACATTGTGTATTGTCTCCATCAGAACGTGTCGCCTTGCCGTCTCTGTAGTAAAGTGTATTGACAATATAACACCAACTTGTTAGTTACATTTCTAAGTAGGTATTCTGATAAATCATAAACACGACCCTTTCGTTTGAAACAGTTGGTTGTCTTCCTAAAGGCGTGATTTGTTAATAAATTATGACAAGCCTACCTTGTATTTTGTTTGGGGACGACTTATGTGTGTTCAATAACTGACGAGAAATACATCGTTTTAGTAGTACGAATATTTCATACAACAATTTAAAACAATGTTTCATTAGAATGTCGGGCGCGAGGATTTTCTGTTCGACACGGTACCAATATTTCTAGTCTCAATTCTGTTGACTTTGCTGAGTAAACCAGTAATTCACATATACCTTTATTGTAAAATTTAGCGTTATTAGCTGGAATGGATTCTGTCGTAATAACTTGTGCCCGTTCCGTTGGCTTGTTTGTTGGCAATAAAATGTGTTTAAACTTAAACTAATGGATTCCGTATGAGTACATTTATGTCGTGTGTGATTTGTTTTTACAAAATCTGTTTAAGACAAATTGATGCCCCTGTTAAATAAATTCTTGTTCTTATATTTTAGATTGTCTACCAATTTCCCACATAAAAAAACCACTCAGGATATATATGGATTATACGAAAATACCATATTTAGTAATTTATAAAATGTATGATATGATTGTACTATGTGTTTCATTTTATTACTTGAAATATCCTGATAATTAACGTTATTTCTAACGCCACGAAGTCCACACCTCTGTAATAGACGTGTAGTACAGTTTTATTTTCATTTCGTGTCTAACAAAACAACCGGGAGCTACAAGATGTATGGTAATTATTGAAATGCCATGTACCGGGCGGATATTGTACATATGTTCGTTTTTTAGGCATTTAGTGTCTACACAATTCAACAAATTAGAAAAAAAAAGATCGCCTTCAGCCATAGCGTGCCGTCCGATATGGTTGATATCAGTAGATGTCATCTGTAGGTTATAACATCTCCTGATCGTATCTACTGATGTCATGGTATACTGAATTCATATGTCGCTGATTATTGTCAACATAGAAAAACGGTACAGAAATGGTCATCTGATGAGTTTGAAGTTCAGGTCCGTCCAAACATGGTGAATTTGTCTGTAGATTTGTAATGTAAATATAATGTATTATTACAAAGTGAACGCTGTATATAATGACTCTGATACTGCATTTATATTTATATCAGTAATATTTTTTTCAAATTCATTCATTTTGACAAATATTAAAGTGTTTCTTTTTTCTGAACATTTTCGTCTGATGGATTTGATTTTAAGATATTTTATTGTCCATCAGTAGCAATAGGATTGTGTGATAAAGCCTTACTGTAGGTAATGGCAACAAATGGGTAGTTCTCTCTCCCGTTTTAGAAAGGTATTGTAGTATCTTGTAAAACCGGTGGTTTCTATAACATCAATTAATATAAAATTATCTTTATTTCCACAGCATTAAATATATATAAACTGAACATGTTCATCATACATGATTGTGAACGGGAAGTTGTAGCTGCGTTTTAACTGGTGAACTACAATTGTAGAATCCTAGAAAATCTACAAATAGCTTAGTTTTCTTGTTTTTGGTTTTACAGAATAGAAATAAAACTTTCTGTATTTTCCTATATTCATATTTTAACGAATATGAAACTGGAGTTTCAATGTGTGTGTGTATCTTCTTTTCATTTACATATGTCGATAAATATTAGAATATTTCCTGTCTACTTAATTATAATCTGTTTGACTATTAATGATTATCTATTTGGATCTGATATATCTGCTATAACATATTATCTTCAATTTTACATGGACAACTCTTTTTAACCTGAAATCCTCCGAGTTCTAAAATATACATTGGTGTATTTCTGGAGCAGAACATCAATTCATTTTAAGTTCATCAATTGAAATCTTGTCCGTGTACAGCTAAAGATGTTGTCTGTGTACAACTAAAGATGTTGTTCGTGTACAGCTGAAGATGTTTCCCGTGTACAGCTAGAGATGTTGTCTGTGTACAGCTACAGATGTTGTCCGTGTACAGCTGAAGATGTTTCCCGTGTACAGCTAAAGATGTTTCCCGTGTACAGCTAGAGATGTTTTCCGTGTACAGCTAAATATGTTTCCCGTGTACAGCTAGAGATGTTTTCCGTGTACAGCTAAATATGTTTCCCGTGTACAGCTAAAGATGCTGTCCGTGTACAGCTACAGCTGTTTGCTGTGTACAGCTACAGCTGTTGTCTGTGTACAACTAAAGATGTTGTCTGTGTACTGTCTGTGTACAGCTACAGCTGTTGCCGTGTGCAAAGATGACTGTCAGTAAAGATCTGTGCATGTGATATACAAAATTATCTTTATTTTAATCTTTCTTTAAAAAAATTACTTCTGAAAACTAAACAAAAATGTATGGTTTGACCAGCGTTTATTAATGTAATAACAAAAGATAAAAATTGTGTATATTTTGTGTCATACTTGTGTCAGAAATAAGATATCACTCCGTGACATTATCTGTCATTACGGTTGTCTCTCGCTTAATTAACCCCTGGTAATTTAAAATCCAGACTGTTTTTAACCACAATACGAGCACTGGTCGCTCCAGGGTATTGTCCGCAGTAAAGATACACAACCCGAAGTGACCAGTGTCCGGTATATGACCACATTAGGATTATTCCCTGCAGCATGAACTGACCATGGCATCGACAATGCACCAATGTGTATGTAGGTGACACAATCGTCTGAAATGTCATCGCCGTTTTCGTCCACGCGGAAATACTTTGTTTAGTATTGAGTAAACCTTATTATGTAGATTGTCCCTCTAGCTTCACTCATGTCAAAATGTCCATGTCATGTAAAACACTTCCTATCAGTCGCTTGTCCAGAAAGTTACAATTTTTCCCACTTTCTAATACTTTATTGGTTGCCTTCGTCACGTCTCATGTACTCCCCTCTTTTATTTTTTCTATGG